TTTAAGATACGTCTCTACTAGAAAACAAATTAAATGAAAGTTCAAAACCACAATTAGTAGTTCCGTTTACTTAGATAAGGCAAATTCCACAACGAATCGTGTGAGCTTTTTCGAACTTAATTGTCCAATTTGTCTGCATAACTTGATCTGATTGTTGGCCACCCTTCAGAGTCAACGTAGTTTGTCGGTTGGAGTCGACTTGTACATCAACAATCTGTTCCCGCTGGTCTTCACTCTTCGTTCAGACGTGGATTCATTAATTCCCCAAGGTTCCCAACTATTCAATGTAAAAATTTTCTTACCGACGTTCCGGCATGCAGGCTTTTTATTGATATATACAATAAATGTTGCCTAGCATTTTGCTCCACATAACTTCCTGGAATGGGTAACATTCCATCTCTCGTCCACTTAAGAGTTTAGCCGTATCGTCTTACAAACAAAAGCTAACTGTTAACATGGCTTCAGGTCATTGCCTTGCAGGCCGTACCGTAATTTGTTTACATACCACCTCTTCAAAATATATTCCATTGCTTGGGAATCTAATGTATTCCTCTGTTACCTCCAGCCACTATTACTAAATGATCGATGACTTGGTCTGCTCTCGCCTATTAACAAATAGACTTCTGCATTGTGAATTATTATTTTGACTAAGGTTGGACACGGGTACACATACGGTGGACAGTAAATAGACGTATAGTCACAATTGTTTCTCCTATGCTATTGCAACCACTTTAGAGGTTATGAGAATTCATATCTTAGTTATTAGAGGGAATTAAACAATATTCAATTCTTGTATTAACTACAATATTTGCTAATTAACAGTTCATTAGCATAAATATCCTAAAAATACAACAATCAATTACTAGCATGCATGATTAATATGACGTTTAAACAAAAAAATTAAAACAGTTATCTTAAGACTCGTATCAAAGTAAAAATAAAGGTGGAAATTAAGACACCATACTCTGCTTTATTTTACATATTTAGAGATTCGTATCGTAACACTTAATCAGAACGGTCAGCTGTTCACCGTTGGTTACAGGTCTCCCAAAGATTTGAAACTACACACCACTTGTACAGATACTCTTCTCTGGACAAAGAATTTGCCTATTGCAAAACTTAAATTGACTAATTTTGCTGGATAAAGGCATTTATAAAACACGAAACTTCGTATCGGAACACATCCCAAGTCGTTAACGTATCCAATCGTAATTTAGGTTGATCTAACTGCCATGATCAACACACACCTCTCCAGAGTTGGAAATTTCTGCTTTACCCCCAGTTTTCTTTAATAAGGTGACGCTCACTAGTTATTATAATTATATACTTTTGATAGTGATGTATGTAAGGTGAAATTGTTTGCATTTAAAACATGTACATTGGAGAGAATATTGGCATACCTCTATGCTACTTTCATGTAATGTGGTTGACATTTCTTTGGATCTTGTACTTTTGGAAATCGTAATTGATCTTAGCACACTGCTAACTAAAATGATTGCTCCCTTTTGCTCCAAACATTACACTGAATTTGTCTAAAATACTCTATTCGTGGCAGCAACTAAAATAAGGAAAATACATTTTGCCAGACTAGACAATAACAGCTACAGAAAGTGCAATGAATGAATTACCAAATATATAAAATGTAAAACAAGTTATCGGCTCTTTTTGTCACATTTACCTCTGAAGTTCGGGTAGTGAAAATGAGCAAGTGGAGCTAGCACTTTTTTGAAAGTTGCACATTGGGAGTAAGGCCAAGCTGTATACTCTATAAACCATATTACACCCATCAATCTTACACCAAAATAAAGGGAATTATAGGTTCTTTGAGCAATACCAAAGATATACAAAGTCTTTTTAAATAGCTATTATAACTAGTGAGGTAACACGGGGAAATTTCTTTTTCTTTAAAAGTCTTGCCCTATGCTAAAAACGAAACTGTAGAGCGCCACTTAAATCAATCTCTGTAAACTCACAACATATCGCAAATATTTCAGAACGTACCAACGCTGTTTCATTATCATGTTAACCCTTGGACACTTGATTAAAAAAAAACAGTTGACATCCTCATGAGCAGTACCCAAATAAATTTATTAAATGGAATCAACCCAAAAATCAATAGTCAATCATGTCGCCTCTAGATGCATTAGTGTACTATATCTTCACACATGCCATTGATTTAATTGTGTGCCTAATCACATATTTTAATTTAATATTATGTTCCTCAATGGTACCTGCAGATTTACAGACATCAGCAAATTTCGTACTGTTCAAAGAACTCAACAGTTTTGAGCGTATGGACATTTACTATACTAGCGTAGATTACCTCCACACAAGCACAAAACCATGCATGTACAAAATATTGTCACGCCCGAATGTTCATTTATGTGTGAAAACTCTTGATATGACTGGTTTACATTTAAATTAACTTTTCATAAAAAAAAACATTCTGAACATTTTAATGCCACAATTTTGAACATTTCAATGCCATAATGCCCCCCTCTCTCTCTCTCTCTCTCTCTCTCTCTCTCTCTCTCTCTCTCTCTCTCTCTCTCTCTCTCTCTCTCTCTCTCTCTCTCTCTTCTCTCTCTCTCTCTCCACACACACACACACACACGCACACACACACACTTTCAGTTTTGTTTTTTTAAGACCAGACTCTCAGTATTGAGTTATACTTCGTAGGTTATTGGCAAGTTCGGATTTGTTGATCAACCGTGTTATTAAGTACTCATAGATTTTAAGGTAGCGATTCAGCTGTAGGTAAGAATCTCCTTCCAGTGACAACTTTCATCCCAGTTAGGATAGATAAGTTTGATCACCAAGACGTGATCAATATCACACGACGATACGTACACGTAAATAACGTAATAAGAGACAACTGTAGCATTTATATAATATTTTGCGGTATGAATGCGCATTGTCTCGCAAACTGTCACCCGATTTGGTGTGTGTAGGATGAGTTTCTTGATATATTTGCTGTGGTCACCCCGAAGCCGTGTAGTTTCCCTGCTATTGATCCTGGCTCAACCGATGAAAAATGTCGCGCGAGTATCAACAAAACAACACAGAATCCTCAATAAATATATAAAATGTAAAATCCTGTCTGTGATATGTCATTCGAGAATAAAAGCGACGTCGCAGTGTCGCGCGAGATCAAGTTAAACTTCATGAATATACGATAACTTGTCAAAGATATGTTACATTCGTGACTTGACGCACTGAAAAACCTCACGTCTTCGAACAAACGTTTGCACCGCTAATCAAACCCTCGAGCAAAACAGCGGAAGAAGTAAAGACACTTGCAAAAACAAGCGAGGCGATGAGGACTTGTTAAAAATACCATCGCGAAGATTGGCTGACTTACGGCCCAGGTGGGTCTTCGCATAGATTACCTGGTTGAGACAAGCCGCTCGCAACAAGTGGATATAATACAATAAAATACTAGATACACAGTAATCTGGACACATAAAGAAAGGTAGAAAATTTTGGAGAATTTATGAGAAAGCTAAATGTGGGATGTACGAGACGAGGCTAAAATCAGCAAGCAAGTCTATGCGAACCCGATCATGAGCCTGAAGCTGAAGTCGAATCCGAATGCAAAGACGCACGTGGACCTCATATCAACCTGGACCCGTGCAACCGCAACAGAAGCCTCAACAACTAAAGAAAGGAGACGGTTTTGGCGGATTGTGTAACCCTTAAGACTTTGCGGATCGTCTAGAAACAGTCACTGGGCCAGTTGGCGCTGGCAACAACGCACAAGAAGTTATCAATGACTCTTCGATAAACGCCTATGATGAGTATTAGCACTTCGTGTTTTACATGGATCAACGTCGCAATGCAGCGCGTCGTTCTGAAGACGACCCCGAACGTCACCTCAGTGATTACATTTGGCTTATTATTATTCAATCACGGCCGTTTCTTTCATAACCTGCCAAGAAGTTGAACATTCCGCGGGTGCATACGACATGGAATCGATCAATGAAGAGAGTCGACGTAAATGTTTATTGTGGTAGAACCAGGTGATTTGATATCAAGTACTTCAGCTGCATCCGTATATTTCATGCCAATCTCTTTTCTTGATATAACCTCATTTTACCCATTGATTTTTCTCAGTAAGGAATCATTAACAATACAACTGTACATTAAAAAGCAATTTGATATTTAAATATAACGAAAGTTGTAAGTGTACGTACGAAACCAATACGTGTTGTTAACTCGAGAAAACCCGTTTACACGACATATTGCATAACTGGGGTTGGTCGTGTTATCCAGTGATTGTTTACCGAAGAAACAAAGCTTACTGCATCTTCGTCTTTACGCACTACATCGATCGCTAAACAGGTTGCACTCTGATTCGTTGATAGCAGCGAAATCACTGATGATGATCGGGTAAACTATCTGTCAGTTATATATTTTGGTTTTGCAGAGATGTTCGCAAGGCTCTTTTCGAAGTTAAAGACACGGTCATATTATAATAAAAACCTCATAATAATCATGCAATTTGTCATCATGGAGATGTTACTGCCAAAACTGTGTTGCTGAAATAAACGTTGTGTGCCTGGAATAACTCCTTCGATGGCTGCAGAAACATATTTGCTGTCGTATATGACTTCTTATGCACATTACCGTTATCACTTCCCACGCTCAACTCAGACTTTTATGAACGCAACGTTTATCAATTATTATAACAAATGAATAAACGAACAACACATAAGCGAACCAAGACATCTGTTTTTTGGGGGGATTTTTTTCGTTACAAAATGTGGCTCTGGCGCTCTTTGAATAAACTGTTAATGACATAATTTGCTATCGATTAGGGGTGTCTAAATTTTCTTTGCGAATAGACGGTACTCACAGCCAACTGAAGAAATTGTATTTGATTTTACCAAGAGTCATGGAGTCATTATGCACGTGCATATCAGAAACTGTTGACACAAATCTACATATTTCGCAACAATAGTTTTCTTTATTGTATCCGATTTATTACTTTTGGAACAGACTGCTCATGTGGCCTAGTGGTTAGAGCGTTCGCCTATGATGCGGGAAGTTGTGGGTTAGAATTCCGGCAGAGTCATACAAAAGACTTTAAAAAATGGTACTAACAGCTAGCTGCCTCGCTTGGCGCTCAGCATTTGGAGTTTAGTGTTAGGACTGGTCGGCCTGATGTCAGGATAATGTGAATGGGTGGGACATCATGCGACATGTCTGCGGCACGATGCCCCAGTGCTAGACATCACTATAAACTCTCACACTGCGGTCATCGTAGATGCAAGATTGTTAAAGAGTCGTTAAAAATCTATATCACACACACACACACACACACACACACACACACACACACACACACACACACACACACTTTTCGAACATCTGGTCCTGTAATTAGTAGAATGTGTGCACCTGCACTTTTATGTACGTGTAACTATGGTCTCTGCAGGTGATCCCTCCGCTCATGCCAGTTACAGATGTATTGATGTAACTTCCTCTTCGTTAGAGGACGAAAGTAGCCGAATGAGGATCATGGACGCATAAGTGGAAAACTGGTTAAGTCTTTTCAAACAAGTAACTGAACCTGTCACATTGAGTTTTCATGGTATTCCCTGCGTGCAGGCATTTTATATGTTTATACCGGAGATAGCAATATCCCGGTAAGGATCACACAACAACCAACAATGCGGATTTAGTATCAGAAATTCATTTTTGAAAAATGCTTATGAATAAATTTATAATGACTCAGCTCTTGGATAAATTAATATTGAATCTTTTGATGAATTTGTTTTGCATGAATGGCTGTGCTATTTGCGGCAACTCGGAAATGCAAAACTTTTATATGCATTTTTCTGCATATAACGCCTCAGGCCAATGAGGACATTTGGAGACCTCCAAAACGCTTGATACATCAGTATATCTGAAGACTTGATCCTCAGTCATTCATTGACCCTGACACCATCTGCAAACTAAAAAAAGTTGAAAAAAGAGCGGAGGATCCTCGAAGTCACAGATTTAAGTGTGGATGAAAGTGTGAAAGATAAACAATAAACACTGTTTAGACTCACATAAAATCATTAGGAAAATAATTTATAAAAGTGCTGTTTTTATTTTTTTCTTCTGACTTCGAAACAGGTCCTATCAACCATACCGCACATCAAACGTGTCGTCCTCGTCCTCACGCCATATCCACTTTTCCACTTTGGATGAAATATATAAGCCATGCAATTTATCTAGTTTTGGTTTTTCTTTAAGAATACACGCAACTCGATTGATTTATTTTTCATGCTAATAAGATGCATAGTGAATGATTTATGAAGCACCTAGACACAATAAATAGGATGATGTTCCGCCCTAGATTCTCGGATTTTATGCCTACTCATCATTTTGTCTACTTTTGTTCACAAAATTAATGACGCTTATTAGCACAGTTAGCACAGGCGAAAGCTCGACATGTTCTACTTTTGTGCATTACATTCCGAACAGGAAGAAGAAAATGTTTTTTAATCAAAAAGTAGTTGACCAGCAAGACTGGTATGTTTCAAAATACATTAAAGTAATTAGACCAGTCCGACAATGAAGACAATTTGCCATTACTACTAATTCTATTCTGTTCACACATGTATAATAACACAAGGTTACTTTGTATAGACCATTTCATGGAGACTTCGGCGAACTTCGTAATTTGCTCGGATTTTTTATCACGTGGCGGGTGGTCAACTGACGCCAATATCCAATCGATAGATGGTAGCCAAATAGTATGGTCCCCTGCTACTAAGCAGGGGACCAGACTAGTGGTCAAAACAAGGAGGATGCATCATTATTAGCATCAACTGTTCCAACTACTTCAGCTTCTTTTTTAGAGTTGAAAAATGCCTATTCAACAGCGATGATGCAACAGATATTGACAAAATTTAATATTGGAACCATCCTGTCTTGTTTTCTGGATTTTATAGCCACACGAGAGAGTAGCTATGAGTTGTTTACATCTGGACATGTACATGCGAGTATGGAAATGGTGTCAATGTTAAAAATTTATTCCCTTTTTTACCATAACACCGTATTTCATAAATCGAGTTTCGTTTACCAATAAAAGGAATTTTTCGTATTAATCCGCAGTATAAAAAACCTGGAATATTTTTCGACGGTAGAGCTGCAGAAGTCCCAGGCATTTAGCGAGCAGGTAGAGGGCATTTTTTTTTTAAATCTGATACATCTAAACAACAATGTATGCCATTTTGTTATGTACAGATGCCTACCAGCGTTTAATTGGCTGGAGTATAAAGTGACTAGGGAGGGGGAGGTTTTTCGGATAATTACGGAGCAACTCGGTTAAATCCGGCATGAAATGGGCTTTTGAATTCCAGACTGATCATAGAATTGTTTCACTTGGAGAGAAGGGCACCAGACAGATCACCCCCTCCCCATTTTGCCGAAAAAAAGTCTTTTATGTGTATGTGTATCTCCCTAAGGTGCGTTGCGTTGTTAACTTTATAAGTATAATTTTGATCAAATATATATATATATATATATATATATATATATATATATATATATATATATATATATATATATATATATATATGGAGTATGATTTTCCTAGTGTATCGAAAAGGTTGTTCATCCAATCAAATTTCAATCATTTGATCGGAACCCTTCTCCTTTTCAAGTTTTAGTGACGTTTGTCAGGGGTCATTAAGTCCTGTGTTTGCTATCTGTATAATGCTATATTGTGTGATTGTTATAGATTTTTGTGAGAGGACGGCAAAATAATCAAATTGCTCCCAGTTTTTTTTTTTACTAAAATAATTGTTTTATTTTAAAAAAATGAAACTTTGTAAATGTCATTTCCCATTTCCATGAAGTATTTCACGAGCTTAACATGGAAGTAGCAATATCGCCATCTTGAGGAAATGTTTTTGTTTATATGTTTCGACTGGATTATCCCATGCTTAAATCTATTTGTAACGAAAACTAATATCCATGAGATTACAAGTATTAGTCTATTGATGCCAAACTTGTAAATGATATGCTCCAATGGTTCAGAAGAAAGGGCAAATTTACGGATTGATTTCAGTGATAACAGTCCTCTTAACGAGAGTGTTAAACACTGCAGAAAGAAGAAAGAACAAATTACGCTCTGGTGTGAATATGTATATAAAACTGTATTAGGCTAGATTTATGGTACGTCTTGGGGATTTCGTAAACGTAACAAATTCAATTCAAGGCCATTGAAAAATGTTGAAATCATTGCCAGAAGCAAATTATTCTAAAGAAATACTGTATCAGAAACAATGTGTACTTGTAGGGCAATCAGAAATGCAAAATACAACTTCAAACGTAAGAGCCAATGAATTACAAGGACATAACTTGCCGAAGGCGACACAGACACAGAGTAAAAACCGGCTAACTTTCGAAAGTAGTGCCTTGCTCGAGTGTTTGACATTAATATTTAATAATGGTCTTAATTTCAGGTTGCATAATTGATTCAATCACAGATAAAAAAAAAGAACACTAAAAGTACCCAGAATGTATCATACACAGTGTTAAATTAGGTGGAGGCTACCACAACAACAGCTTGTATAGGAATAACAGCTGGTTTATGCATTGCATGACTACCAACCAGTGGAGCTGTTCAACTAGCTTTCAGTGGATTTCGGGCAGCATTTATAGAACTTATCTGCATTTTTTATTTTATTGTGGTATCTGAACACCTTAAGTTTTCCAGTTTGGGGTCTTAATTATTCGCACACGGCTTAGAAACATAAATTTGTACCGAAATTTGTTTTTTAGAAAATGAATCAGTTTACCTCCCTCCATCTTCGCTTTCCACGGGTCCTCCATGCACCTCGTTTCTCATGAAATGAAGCGAATGGACAACTCGTGGATACCGAGGATTACCGATTTGTGGATACCGAGGATGACCCATTCGTGGATATAGAGGATAACCCATTCATGCAAAACGACGTGTTATCAGACCTAACGCATATTTACTGCAGGGTAGAAACTAGTAGAAATTGGCTACTTCCTGGTATGGTTCATTTTCCCAGGATTTGTGACTGTAATGGTGAAAATAAGGTTAATTCGCCGGATTGGATTCATGCGATGGTCGTCCGAGAGAGAGGCGTTAGTAAGTTATTGTTTTATGAATGGATATGTGTAGTATTTCAGTCTTCGTGCGATTCTGAAGCGATAAAAGACGCGTGACAAAAGTCGAATCAAGCGGAGGTTTGTGGTCACGCTTGCATTCCTTGTGTTATTTTATAATATCGTTAAGGTGATTTCACGTCAGAAATTTCGTCGTGCTTTGTTGTTGTTGTTGTTATTGGGCTTAACGCCATTTTTCAGCACACGATAGGCTATTGAAGGCGGCCAGTATTAATGGTGGAAGGAAGAAACCGGGAAATCACCGGAAAGAACCACCGATCCACGAGAAGCTACTGGCAAGCTTTCTCAACAAAGAAGTTTTCTCCGTTTTAAAAGTAGTTCAGAGCGCATGGACATTTTGACTGAGACGACCTGAGTGAGACAACCGGACTGACATTAAGGTTAGCAAAAGCAGCTAGACTTTTTCTTGCATCGGTCAGAAAAAAAATATGTCATGTCAATGTGTCAGTACAGTAATTTACTTTAAAGGCCATACATTTTGTTCGAAAAATACTAATTTCTCAAACGAAACTGCAATCTATCTATTCGTTCCATCTCTGCTATTTGTATGATTGGATAGTGCCGTAGGACTGACCTGGTAAAACACATGTAATTATGGTGGCGCTCTACTGTTTCGTATTTTGCATTGAATTTTGAAGAAAGTAAAATCATTTCCCCGGGTTTTCTCCGGGTTTCCTCACTAGTTATACTAACTATTTAAAAAAAAGACTGTATATCTTAGGTATTGTTCAAAGAACATTTAATTCCCTTTATTTTGGTGCATGATTGATGGGTGTAATATGGGTTATGGAGTATACAGCATGACTTTACTCCAGATGTGCACCTTTCAAAAAAGTGCTAGCTCCACTTGGACATTTTAACTTCTTGAACTTTAAAGGTAAATTGTAAAAAAGATGTTTTTTATATTTTGCATATTTG